TGGACCAGCTTTGAGAAGTTGCCATAGGGTTTCTCCACTGGTCTGTGTTAATTTGGCAATGGGGAGTTCTGGCTCTTGGTCACGGGGCTAGCTTTTTTTCTGCTCCTTTTGTTTCTTCGGTCTTGGCTTTCTTTCTGTTGTAAACCACTCCCTACAGAGGTGTGGCACTGTGCTTGCCAGAGCTGTGGGCTCTGGCATGGTCTTTTCCACTTGTCCTGAGGCTCTTCCATTCACTGGAGGCTTACAGCTAGATTGGTTCTATGCTTGCCTTCTCTACCTGCTACTGGCAGACTAGCACAGCCACAAAAGCAGTGCATTAACTCAGTCAGAATCCAGAACGGCCGTTCTCATGGGCAGTATGCCTGTCATGGGTGTGTCACCACTTGACAATTTGTTCCCATCTCTTCAGTGGATAGCCAGGTGCCAACTGGTGTGTCAGCTCAACTCAGTTGCTGTTATTGAGTATGACTCCAGTCTTGAGAGAGTTTCTGAGACAGTTTGCTGTTTATTTCCTTCTCCTTCGTTTTAGCAAGAAGCTTTTACAGAGGTTACTTTGTGCTTTCTGAAAATTTGGGTGCTGGGAAGAAAGACTGAGTGAAGGGAGATAAAGCTCAGGTGTCTGTCTCTGTCAACATTACAGCGAGGACAGACCTTAACATGCTCAGTTTATATGGCTGCTTGTGAGTTGTACCTTGTCCTTAGCTTGCATGCAGTCGAAGTAGTGTCACTTTAAAAATTTGAACTAAAGTGACCTTTTTCAGGCAGTATGGGTTTTGGCCTAGGGTTCCTTGTGCCCCAGTTTCACTGAAGAGCTTTAGTTTGCCATCCTCATATTTCAAGACTCATCTTTATTCTGTCTCTGTGTAACACCTTCACATAAACGGTCAGTCTATAAAGAGTTTTCTTTTAAAATTGTGTTTAATTTGTCATTCTTTTTTAAGAGTAGGGGCTCGCTTTGTAGCCCAGGCTGGTGTGAAATTTGAGATGGCCCTCTTGCTAGCTTCCTAAGTCCTAGGCACCATGTATGGCTTTTTTTGAAGTCTTAAAATTGGGGCCATGAGTTGAATCAAGACTATGACCCAATACTTATGTAGAATAGGCCCAGCATAGATTTTGTTGTACAGTAGTGAAATTCTAGTGCACTGTTTCGTTTGTTTTCACAGTTTGGGCTTACTCTGTAGCTCTGACTGGTCTGGAACTTACCAGGTCAGGATGGCCTTCAGCTCCTTGTGATCCTCTTGCCTCTGCTCCCAAGTGCTGGTATTACAGGCATGTACCACCACACCTGACCTACTTTGTGGATTTTTAAAAGGAGTTTTGTTGATTTACCTGTCTTTGCTCTTAGTCCTTTAAGTTTTATATTAATTTAAGATAGATGATCTTAAAACCTTTATGACTTACAAGTGTGTCAACCCATTCAAAATCTTCCATGTCATTGTCTTTTATTTAGTTTTTAAATTTTTTCCTTTAATTTTTATGTGTATGTGTGTGTGTGCTCTCATGAGTTCATGTATACTACATGCATGTCTCACACCCAAGGATATCATAAGAGACATCAAACCTCCTAGACCTGGAGTTGCATACAGACAGTTCTGAACTGTCACGTGGGGTGCTGGGAACGGAACACGAGTCCTCAGAGGTGGAAACACTTATAATCACTGAGCCATCTCTCCAGCCTCTAAAATCATGTATGCTATTTTCCATGTGTGGAAGAGGGAAGTGGACATGCTCCTTTTGTTCCTCTCTATAACAACAAATTAAATCTCTCTACTTCTTAGTCACCAGTAAATGTTTGTTGGAGCCTGATTTATTTATACAGAGAGTGGCCTCAGGGCTTGTGTTTCTAACTCTTCTTTAGTTTATAGAAAAACTTCATCTGCGTGCGTTCTATTGGAGGAGCTACAGAATAGATAAGGCTCTGGGTAAGAAGGAACATGGAGATTTGCTACTGGTCTCGGAATCTTTTGACCTCAGGTATTTTGAAAATGCTTTTGAAAAATCCATTTTATCTAGGCTATTTGAGGGGAGTCTTAACAAGATCACAGAATATATTTTTGAAAAACCAAAAAAGTATTTTAAGTCATAATGTATGCTGGAGGCCCTCCTTTAACTAATAGACAAGTCATTGTTTATAAGTAGCATATCCAACAAACAATGTGGAGTCTTAGCATTTGACCGGATGAGTTCTCAGATGTCTTTGGAAATGGGAAAACTAAACATCAGAGACAGCAAGATCCCCACAGGGGAAATGTCAGAGCTGGCATGAGAACTTCCATCTTCCTCATTTACTGTTCCAAGTTGGTAGACATTAACCTCTGCGTATATTGTAAAGCTCAATTACACAGTAACAGATGTTTTGCAAGTATTTTCTTAAACTTGATTTTAAAACAATCTTATACTGTCTGTCAGCTGTTTCTCATCTCTTCCCTTTCATTTTAAAACAAATAGAAAATTTAGTTTTATCTCCCTTTTACTGATAATATTGGGACCTTTTTTTATTATTAAATACGGTATTTGTTTTCTCTCTGTCAAACCTTGAGCCAACCACTTTCTCCAGTCTTCTGGGGGAGTGCAGGAAAAGGAATATACAGGGCAGGCATGAGAGAAAGAATTCTGGGAGGTGGAGACAGCTGTTTCATGTGGCAAAGAGGGTGAGAAAGGCAACCATTAGGCAGAAGAGCCCATTGCCTCCAAGAGAGCAAAGCCCAGAATCTCTGAGCTGTCACTTCAGAGATGGGTTCCTGCACACCCGACAAGGAGGCTCTCAAACACAGTGCAATCCCAGCCCCCGAGAGAGCCACCCCAAGGAACTTGGCTGCTGTGTTGATGCCCTTTGAAATGGCTCTTCCAGGGGACAAGTGAAGTCAGGAGACATGGCACTGCCAAGCTGCTGAGGCTGTTAGCTGCCAGTGTCTCTGGTTGGTTCAGCACCACTATGGAGAGTGGCTGACTCGGGCTGAGAAGTGCTCCTGATTAAGGAGCAGGTAGGGATGAAGTTGGAGCATACATTTTCAGGGATGAGGAGCCAAGACAGAGCTGCTTCCAGTACTGAGAAGGCAGAGAGCTAATATCGGTGCTTTAAAAGTAAAATGTGATATGAAAATTAGGCAAGTCAGTGATTTTTCCGTTGACTTAAGAGCATCATTGCTACAGACCAACGCAATTGTTGATCTCACGGTTCTCAGTTTATGTGGCTGCTGAGGGAGATCTGTTATCCATCTAGAGGGGGGAGGATCTCTTATATGCCTGAAAGAAGATACTAAGACAAAAAATATTTGGTATAAGATTAATTTTATACTGCCTCCTTCAGGCCATCATTGTGTGTAAAACAGATTATTTTTTTTTTTACCTAGGTACTAAAAATTGAACTGAGGGCCTTTTGCTAGGCAAGTGCTCTCTCTAGCCCTGTTGTAGTGGGGGCACTAGATGAAGGCAAAAATGCATTCTTACATGCTAAATCAGCTGTAGCTGTATCCTGTTCATATATAAGTAATGTGGTAACTGGTCCCCCCTTAGTTTATTAATGGTTTAGAATGTAACATAGGTTGAAGGCTTTGATATATATATCCACAACAATATTGGTTTGGTGTAAAAGTGTTTGGTGTATTAGTGTCACCCTCTCCACCATACCCTTTAAAAATAAACAACAAAAGAAGTTATGCCAGCCAGACTACCTTGGTATTAATACTGTCCCCTTTTATGAGTGACTGAGCTCACTTTGAAGAGAGCTGTTTGCGTTAGCAGACATCTTGACAGCATCCACCTCTCGCAACCTGGCAGCGAAGTTGAAAAATGGATCCTTCCGGATAGAAATACTTTGTTTGGGTGTTTCCTTTTCTTTAGATTATTCTTTAGTAGGTGGTAAGTTGGCAGCCATCTTCTAACATGGGAAGTGCAACCTTCCTTGGAATAAGATTGATAATTTTCCCGATTACTAACAAATATTGGAAAGTATTGTGATCTGAGTCTTGCTTGCTTTGTGAAACCATAGTGCTATAACCAAAGGAATGGCAAACATAAAGCTTTACTTTTGCTAAAGCCCAGTTAAGTTTTGAAAATGGAGTCTTTGGGTTCAGGGTTAAGCAGCGCTGCTCTGTGCAGCCATTCATCCTCTAGAAGTAGCTAGATGCCATGTTGACAGTGAAACTTTTCCCTTTATTATATATTTATTGTGCGTTGTCAGGCTATACTGCTTTTTAAATGTCATTTATTACTTTATCAACTTGCACCTCTTTCTAGTCATACTGCTTTTAATGAATAATACAAATTATAGTCATTAATTTTTACAATAGTAAAAGTCATCAAACCTTTTCATTCTATACATAGTAATTAAAATACAGCTAGTCTAATGAAAAAAATAGCATCTGTTAACACAAATGAATGCACAGAGAAGAAAAGAATTCTCTTTTAAAAATATGTTATATGCAGCAGGGGGCACTAGATGAAGGCAAAAATGAATTCTTACATGCTAAATCAGCTATATAACTGTATCCTGTTCGTATATAAGTAATGTGGTAGCCATTTCCCCCTTAGTTTCTTAATGGTTTTAACTTCTTAGTTCAAAAATTGCATTGAAGGAGAGATTGATAACTAGTTCCACTGTTAATCTAGGTGAAACTTAACACCACCAATCAGTTTAGTAAATGCATGCTTTTTCTCCCTTAAACATTTACTGTTTTAGTTTTAGAAAAGAGGAATATAAATTGAACTTAATAATTCCTTGTTTAGAACAAGGCATTGATACTGTGTTTCTGATATCTTTCACAGAAAATGTGCTTTCGTTAACAAAAATGGGAAAGCCTCAATTATGTGAGGTGATTTGGAGGTGATTTGAAAACTGAATTATGTTCTTTTTTTATGTGAACTGAATGATTCTAAATTTGGAAACTGTTCCTTATTGCTAATGAAGAGTTATGTAGAAAGTTTTTACAAAATTTGACTTATTTTTAATGTTGGGGTCTCATTAAATTTGTTTTATTCTCTTCTTTGTCTTTATTTAGTCCAGTATCAGATGGAAATGATGCGCAGCCTTCGCCATGTGAACATTGATCACCTCCATGTGGGCTGGTACCAGTCCACGTACTATGGCTCATTTGTCACCCGGGCGCTTCTGGATTCCCAGTTCAGTTACCAGCATGCCATTGAGGAATCTGTTGTTCTCATTTATGGTTAGTAGGAGGCTCCATTATTATTCTTTTCCTCCCTTAATATTATTACTGCTATTTTTGCTTTCTGCCTTTTTGCCTCTTCGAGCAGCCTGGCAGACCCTCTCAAGTCAATACCAACACTGTTTCTGTAGCAGCCTCAGCAGCAGCTACGTCTAGACAGGGTTTCCTTCTTTCTGTTTATTTTTCTTGCTATCAGAGCCCTGATGTGTACGTTTTGGAATGCTGGAGTAGCTGCTTCGTTTCTATCCCTCCATCTCCCCTCCCTCCTTGAAGGGGCTGGTGGAACTGGACCAGATGTCTAACAAACCCCGATTACTTGAGTGTCTGGCTCTGTACGTGACTGACCAATCATAACACAGTGTGCCAAGTTTTTTTTTTCTTTCTTTCTTTCTTTCTTTCTTTCTTTCTTTCT